CTGGTCTAAATGGAGCAGCAAGTTATGAGAGCCAAAGAAACGGAGCCCACGATGGGGGCACACGTGGTGTTGGGCACATCAGGGAGCTCCCAGTCAGGGTACCTCATGGGGTACAGCGGCTTAGGAAAGGCCTAGGCTGGATGGGGATACAGTGGGTTGAGGGTCGGCAGGTGTTTTCTGAATACAGACTCAGCATGTGCCCATCTAAGGACAGCTGGGCTATGGGTCTCCTGCAGACCCACAGTTCTTGAGTGTCCATGGCGTGGAGCCTGTCCTGATGAACCACACAAATTAAGCAGGGTTAATGTGTGAGGGAAGTGCAGGGCGTGGGAGGAGCCTTTGTTGGCTGAAGGGCTGGCTGTGGAACAGAGCCTCCAAGCAGTGCTGCTCATGCTCAAAGGAGGGTGCTCTGTGCGCCTTGTCATGTCCTTTGTGGCTCAGTTGCTCTGAGAGCCTTTGGTAGAAGGGCCCAGGTCTATGCCTTGTATTCCCAGATGAGCGATGTAGAAGCTGGTGGTGCCACCGTCTTTCCTGACCTGGGGGCTGCAATTTGGCCGAAGAAGGTAAGTTCTGGTTCTTGTGGTTCAGACTTTGAAGCAGGGTTTCATGTCCCCTGACCTGTTTCCCAGCCTGCTTGACTTTCCCTGGGAGGGGCCTTAGCCTCTTTCTGCCTGAACTCTGACCTTGTGGCTTCAGATTCCATCTGGGAAAAAGGGATAGGGAGAGAGGTCCCTTCATGGGCAGGTGCATTCCCAGACATCCACTCCCCGGTGAAGGGTAGGTGCCTTCTGGGGAACTTCTCTGTTGCTGGAGTCCCAGAGCCCTGTCCCCCTATACACAGGAAAGTGGGATGTTTCTGATTAGGGAGAGGCTATGTGGTGTTTGGGGTCAGGTCCTCGAGCCCAGTCTCTTAAGGACGTTGTCTGACAGGCCGTCTCTTTTTTCCAGGGCACAGCAGTATTCTGGTACAACCTCCTGAGGAGTGGGGAAGGTGACTACCGAACGAGACATGCTGCCTGCCCCGTGCTTGTGGGCTGCAAGTGGGGTGAGTGGCTTAAGGCGTGGTGTTGGCCTTGGTGGCCTCAGCCTGGGCTTTAGTGGTTGACCTTAGAGTCTGAGCTGGCAGATAACCCCTGTCAGAGTTTCACAAAGCCAGGACTGTCTCCCTTTTCTGAGTTTTTTCCCTCCTGCTGACTGGTAGTCTCATGCAGCTATGTAACTGTCCGTTCAGCTGGTTATGTGCCGAGACAACCATTTGGGATTCCTCTCAGAGATGCCACGAGAGCTGAGGAAGACCCCATGAAGCATAGCTGCCCAAGCATTGGAGGTCCAGGTTAGCTCCCCAGAGGTGTGGACTCTGGCAAGGGTTCTGAGGAGCAGTGGGAGAGACCTGGAATCAGAGTAGGCAAGGGTGGTGTCCCAGGCAAGCAAGGCCCACATGGAACATGTCACAGGCTAAAGCCAGCATCATAGGTATGGGGACTGGCTGTCTTTGTCACTTGGATAAGGGGAGGCCTGTGGAACAGGGGCCAAGCGATGAGGCTTGAGGCTGGGACCAAACTGCAGAGGCTGAAGCTTGAGCCTCATTCTGGAAGCAGCTGTGATGAGCTATAGAGAGGCTTGACAGGAAGTCAAGCCAGGATATGACAGGAAGTGATTGCAAAGAGATGAGTTTGTAGCCCTGTTGGGGAGTTTTGGGGATAAATAGTGATAGGTTCACAGAAAATTCAGCAAATGAAAAAGAAAAGGAATCCATTGCTGACTTGAAGGAAAAGAAAAAGTTGTACAAGAAAGGAAATATAATCTATTAGGTGTCTCAGGTGTGAGCAATATTTATGTGACATAATAATGTAAACACTGAATATTAATTGGACTAAAACTTGTTGTTTTGTTTTGTTTTGTTTTGTTGTTGTTGTTTTTAGCTGAGCCATTCTGCTACCTGTTGGCAGCTCAGTGGCAGCTCAGCTCGGGCCGGGACTCAAACCGCTGTTGCTTAGAGCTCGCACTCTTGAGTGAGCTCTTAACCAACTGAGCCACTTGGCTGGCCCTAATTGGACTAAAACTTGTGATTTAACTGTATTAGGAAGACAGGAGGGAATAAATATGTGTTTTAGGGGTAATATAAAAGAATTTCAAAACTGAAAGTCAAGAAATAGCATTATGAGCATGTTATTTAGAAAAATGAGGATAAAGATCAGAAGAAACAACTAAAGAAGAAAAATATTCTCTGGGGATTGGTGATGGGAAGGGGTAGGTAGGAGATTGCTGTTTATCATTATAAGCTTTGAGATGATTTGATTTCTTTAGCTAAGTACGTGTATTACTTTCAATCAAAAATTGTATTTAAAAAGCTGTATGATTTCAGTAGTGCATCAGAATAAATTTGTTTTATTTGTTGTGAAAGAGCCTATGTTGAGGAATGAAATCATGGTTCATGTGTATTTGAGACACAGCTTTATGTGACAGACAGTGCACAGCTTGGATCTGCTGGTCCCCAGCTCCTAAGATTGATGTCCAGGCCCTCCACTATTCCGTCAGACTTCCTCATCCTCATCTCCCACCTCAGTTCCCACTCACTACATTCCAGTCACATCAAGCCGCTTGGGGTCCGTAACACATCAGGGTTCATGCCTTGATGTCTGTCTCATCCTGTTCCCACGTCCTGGACCCCCTACATATAGGAACTGTTGTGGTCTGTCCATCTTCTTCCCTTGACAACTCCTATTCAGCTTCATATTGTAGCCCTGGGGTCTTTTCTTCTCCCACATGGTAAGGTGCCCTTTGGCCCTGTTTCCATGGCAACCTTACACACGTGTCTCTTGTCACTGGTAGGCTTTTATACAATTACCTGTTTATACATCTGTCTTCCTCACCAGCTCCTGAGCAGCTTGAGGCCTGAGACCGTGTTGTATTCATGTCTGACTCCCAGGGCCCAGTGCAGGATTCATCATGAAGAGGTCATTCATTTTGAGCGCTAAGTTAACCAACAGGATTGTAACGTACTTTCTCTTTGTTCACAGTCTCCAATAAGTGGTTCCATGAACGAGGACAGGAGTTCTTGAGGCCGTGTGGATCAACAGAAGTTGACTGACATCCTTTTCTTCCCTTCCTCTTCCTGGCCCCACAGCTCTTTGTCTTCAAGTTCAACATGACAGACACGTTTGTATGTTCCAGCCCATCAGGCAGGTCTTCTGAGTAGCAAATGTTTGTCTGGAACAGAGACAGCAGACAGGGGAGGGTCCTGGGTGACCTTGGTCCCAGCCTCTCTGGTCAGCCTGTGCCATCTCGGGTCAGAGTGGCAGCCGCAGAGTTGGGCTCTAGCACCTGGCAAGGTGTTTTGTACCTCAGATGTTTTAGGTGTGAGATGTTTCAGTGAACCAAAGTTCTGATATCGTGTTTACATGTTTGTTTTTATGGCATTTCTATTAATGTGGCTTTAACCAAAAAATAAAATGTCCCTGCCAGAAGTCTTAAAGAGCTTTGTTTGGAGTATTTTTTAAGATGGGGGAGCTTTTATGAAATTCACCATTTCCTGTGCATCTCTGTGGAGGCAAAGCCTGGGTAATGAACACTTCAGCGGCAAAGCCCTGACTTTGGGTACTAGATGTGGTTTCAACACTTACATCTCCTCCAAGCTTCAGTGTCCTTGCTGAAAGTGAGGGAAATAGTCTCTCCTTGCCTCCCAGAGAACATAGAGATCATGTATATTCATGATTGTGATGCTGTTATAATTTGAAATTTATTTTTAAATGTTGAGATATACACACAGAATTGTTTATGATACACAGATGTACGGTTTAAAGAATACGAAGGTGAGCATGAGCACCATGGCACCACCACCCAGATCATTTTCAGATGCACACTCCAGGAGCCCCTTCTGAGCCTCTCCTGAATCACATATCCTGCCTTTCCCCCAACCCCCGCCCCCCCGACCCCCAATGCTTTGGTGGTAACCATTGTCTAATGTTTTGTGGTAGTCATTCCTTTGCTTTTCTTTGTAGTTTTACTCTGTGTCTGTATCCCCAACTAAGCAGATATTTTGTTTTCCTTGATTTTTGATCTTTTTTTTTTTTTTAAAGATTTTTATTGGGGAATTGGGGGATGGGAACAGCGCTGGGGAATTGGGGGAAGGGGAACAGACAAGTTGCTGTCGTTTTGTTCTTCAATCTAGTTGTGGAGGATGTTGCTTCACTGGCCCAAGTTGGCACCATCATTGCGCTCTTCCTTGGTGAGGCAGATCAGTCGCCAGCTTCTGGACGGCCGCTCATGGCGGCTGCTGGCCGCTCACGCTGGCTGCTGGCCGCTCACGCTGGCTGCTGGCTACTTACGGTAGCCCATGGCAACCCACTGCAGCAGGGGCTGCAGTCCACGCTGTCTCTGGTGACTCACGGCAGCCCAGCTCCAGGTTGAGCTGTTGTTCAGCATCTTAGCTGTGTAGTGCAGTGTCACTGGCCCTCACTACACAGATCATATGTGGGATCCGAACCGGGGCTCTCTGGCATCCCAAGCCAGTTCTTAACCATCGTGCCACTCAGCTGGCCCAATTTTTTTTATCTTTTTGTAAATGGAATCAGAGTATATTTTGGAGGTTGTTTAGCTTCTTTTGTTCAGCAGTTATTTTTAAGATTCATCCATATTGTTCTATAGCTATAGTTTGTTTTAATTTATATAGTCGTTTTATTAATGTATGTTGTAGGATGATACCTAATATAGCCAATATACTATTGATAGACATTTGAGTTGGTTTCAGTTTTTGTATATTATCAATAATGCCATTTGCATATTTATACATAATTCCTGGTACACATAAATGCACATTTCTGTAGAATACATATCTAGGATGGACATGCTGAGTCTTACTAGGTGAGTCTTCAACTTTACCATATAATGTATTCTAGAGTGGGTATGCATATTTTGCCCAAGAGCAAATGAGAGTTCATGTTATCCCATCCTTCTCCAATATTGGTATTGTCATACTTTTGAATTTTAGCTAGCTTGTTACATGTATAATATTTTAGCATGATTGTTAATAATATTGAATATCTCTTTGTATGTGTATTCATCTTTAGGTTTCTTTATGTGTCTATTCAAGTCTTCTTACTGATTCATAGGAATTTTTAATATATTATGGACACAAGCTCTTGGTTACATGTTTTGCAGATATCGTTTTTCTAGTTTGTCTTTTCATTCTTAGGTCTGTCTTTTGATGAACAGAAGTTATTAATTTTTATGTCTAATTTATCAAATTTTCCCTTTTTGATTTATGCTTTTTATGTCTTAAGAAATTCTTTTGTACCCCAAGATCATGAAGATATTTCCTGTATTCTTTTCTAAATGCATTATAGTCTCGTCTTTTTCATTTATCTCTTTAATTCACCTGGGTTTTATTTTTGTATATAACATGAGGTACAAGGGTTGACTTAAAAAAATCTTTTTGCATATTTTATTAGGGTAGGATAGGCTTATGCACAGGAATAAAATAACCCCTACATTTCAGTGGCATAACATAAAAAACTGTGTCTCATGCAAAAAATCACTGGGTCTAGGGCAACTGCTACCTGTCTACTGCCATCTAATTTCTCCCTAATGCCTCCATTGACAGAAACTAATATAACAGGAAGCCAGTTGGTAAGGGAATCTGGGCAGTGTAGTTTATAGAATTTCAACTTTGTTATAACAGCAGAGTATGTAAAGATGAACTGAGTGTAGAGCTGAGAAACAACACAAAAAGTACTGGCATGCTAGTTTTGTTTTTTTTCTTGTTGGAGTTTTTTGGGCTTCTTGAATATGTATAATCTTTAATGTGTTTTGGAAAATTATTAAATCATTTCTCTTTCGATATTTTCTGTGTTCCTTTTGGAACTCTGATTAAATGTAAATTAGACTATATCACTATTCTTATCTCTTAACCTGTCTTTCATATTTTTTATATCTATGCTATATTTTGGGGTAATCTTAACAATTGTATTCTAGTTTACTCATTCTCTGTTCTATTAAATACATGGAGTTTTTCTTTAAACACTTAAAGATGTAGTTCCATTATTCTCTGGCTTGTACCATTTCTATTGAAAATTCAGCTATCTTGTCCTGTTGTTGTTCCTTTGAAGTAATTTTTCCCCCTCCTCCTCCCTGCTGTCTGCTTTTTAAGATTTTTCTTTGTTTTGGTTTTCAGTAGTTTTACTATGATATACATAGTTGAGTTTCTTTCTGTTATTTTCCAGCTTGAGGTTATAGAGCTTCCTGAAATTGTGGGCTGGCGTCTTTGATCAGTTTGGGAAATTTCTCAGACATTATTCAAATATTGCTTCTGCCCCATTTTCTACCTCTCCTCTCTGGGACTCCAATAATCTGCATGCTAGAGTTTTCAGTGTGTTTCATATATCTCCTCTCTTTTCTGTGTCTCCCATCCTTTTCCCTCCTGCTTCAGACTAGATATTTTCTATTGATCTACCTTCTAATTCATTTATCTCGCTGCTAAACCTACCTATTGAGTGCTTAATTTCAGTTCTTGTAGTTTTCTGTTCTAGAATTTCCACTCGGTTATTTTTAATAGATTGTAATTATCTGGGGAACTTATCTCTTGTTTTCTTCTGCACTAATGAACCAGTTATTCAAAAGTTCTTGTCTTATAGCTCCATGAGTTAGAGTATCTGTGGGTCTCTTGCTATTGTCTCCCCCCCCCCCCCCCCCCGTCCCCCCCACGCAGTTTCTGGTCATTTGGTCTACTCTGTTGGTGTGCCTGGTAATTTTAGACTGAATGCTGGACATTGTGTATGACAAATTGTAGAGGCTCTGGATGGTAATAACCTCTTACACAAAAGATTTGCCATTTCCTTTACTAGGCAGAGTGGGGATTGATTAGCTTAATCCAAATCAGGGCCTACGCCAACTTAATTAAGGGTGGGTTACAGTTTTCTTAAGACTGTATCTGTCGTTTACCCTTGTTTTCCCCCTTACAGGATATAGTCCTCCAGGGATTTTCCAGTTGGGAGCCTAGAGTGTTCACTGGATCTATACCCCTTGGCAGTTCCATAGTCCTAATCCTTACATCCTCAGTATCTAGACACTGCTCCCAAAATTCATTTTTCTAGTTAGAGGTTTTCTTAGCCTCTTAACTTTCTATTTTGCACAGCTTCAGAATTCATAAAATATCCTAATGGGTTAACAGGCTGAGTGGTTGACTAAGCTCTCCACTGCTCTCTCCTATTTAATATTCTAACAAACAGTCTAATTTTTGTCTTTCAGTGCCCTTTGATACTGCCAAGAGCTCTGCTGCTTTCTCTGCCTCTTGGCAGTTACCCATTGCTTGGATCCTTTCTCTGGGTCCTCATTCTCTTACCTCATGCCTAGAATCAATAAATGATCTAAGGATAAAAGAGGCTACAGACCTTTGGCTCACCAAGCTGAGATTCATCTTCCCCAGGATCTTGATGCTGAAGCCCTTTTTGCTTCAGCCATCCATTGACGCCTTCACACATTTATAGGAGATTTTATCCAGCTTTCATGGTTGTTTTTGACATGAAAGTTGGTTTACCATAAGCTACTCCATCTTAGCTGGGAGTGGAAGTTTCTTGTTCATTTCAGTTTTTAAAATTGGTTTTCATGTGAAAAATACAGGTATAGAAAATCTTTTCTTTGATATCTTCCTAAGTTGTCTGGTATAACAATATGTTCCACATTCATCTTGGACATTTCCTGCATTAAGTATGGAATCAACCATTAAGCAATCTGTTATGTGTTGGTGCCTGCCTGTCAGTCCAGTGTGATCCTAGAACCAAACACAGGATAACCTTAGAAACAGGGTACCGTTTTCAGTAATCTTGTATTAACTTACTTAGCTTAGCATTAAGATGTTCACTATGGCACCAAAGAGTTGAGCATTTCAGTATGTATTTGGTAGTGTGCTAGGGATGTTATAGTATGTTATTTCAAACTTACAATAACTCTTTAGAATAGGTAACAAAGCTGAAAGTCGGGTTAGGTAATGTACCTGAGGTCACATAAGGTCTCATTGCTGTTTCTTGAAAGGCCTGGGAATCAAACCCCCCGATCTGGCAGCTTCCCAGAGGCTTTGCTCTAAAATAGTAATTTATATTTTCATCCATTCAATAGTTATTTAAGATCTGATGTGGAAGCAAAGATGAATAAAATACTGCCTTTCCCTTTAAATAATTCAGAGTAATGGAAGATAAATAGATGTGTGAAATGTGAGAGGTCTGATAACGGAGGACTAGTGCTCAAGAAGCACAGGAGAGCGAGGGTCTAATTTAACCAGAGAAGTTGGC